ACTTTGTCATTAAGCGCTGGTCCCAGTTTCACCAAGGTATCGGAGAGGACAAGACGAATAGGAAATAGATAAATCAATCATCGGAAGCATTGGTAGGAGGCGGAGGAGCACTGTGAACCAGATTACTACTAAGTGTGTTGGTTTGTTGATAGGAGTGTTATATCAAGCGGGCGAAGGGTATCAATGAGATTTTTGAGTTCAGGGTTCATTTTGAGCTTCCCAAATTGTGCCGGGAAGGCCCAGCACAGTGCTTCTAGCGTTGGGGGCCAGGTTTCGGATGAAAGCTCTTTTAGCTTGAGAATACGCACAGATGATCAAATTTAATGGATAAACAAGATAATAGAGAGTGACTTGTAAAAGAGCGGAAATTTCAGAATCAAGAAACTGGGGGTCACTGATGTATAGGGCCCGGAGGGAGGAGGCGAGAAAACTTTTCTTAGCTGATGAGGATGGTAGGAAACCACATGAATGTACATACCACTGAGCATAAGCATACAGTAAAGAGAAAAAGAGAAACCAGACACAGAGTTATGAATATACACATCTAGGGAAGGAAGGAGAGAACTATGATTTCCATTCGACTTTGGAATGTATAGGCGCCAGCCTGGAGCATACCTGAAGAGGATTCTGGGAGTTCTACTCCCCCAGCCGGGCCTGAGGCCAGGCTCGACTTGTGATAACTTGGTCCAACAGGCTAGTGCTTGGAGTGGCCTACAGGTTGTTTAGACAGGAGAGAAAAGGCTGGAAAAGACTAAGAATCATGAGGCCAAAAAGCGAAACTGTGAACAGCATCGCAAAGCCAGAGAGTGCCGAATATCAATAGTGGGAAGAACAATTCTAAAGTATTCACAGAGACTGGCCAGAGAAGGAAAGACAGGAGATTCAATAGCGACACCGAAAAGTTCGAGAGAAATATTTACTATTGAATGAGAAGGAGTTAAGAGTCAACACAAGAGTCTGATGAGATGGAAGAAGACGTCAGAAGGAAGCGGGAGATGAAGAAGGCCCCTCATTCGCCCTTTGACTAAGGAAAGAGAACATCATCAAGGGGAATATTAGTATAAAGAGAATCAACGTCAATACTAAGCATCTTACAGGAGAGCTGCAAGCGCAATCTTTCGATGAAATCCTGAGAGTGACGAAAGTAGCAGGAGAAAAAGTACCAAGATAAGGTGTGTGTGTGTGTGTGTGTGTGTGTGTGTGTGTGTGTGTGTGTGTGTGTGTGTGTGTGTGAGGTTTTGGCAAGCCAGGAGGCAAGAAGACAACCAACAGCGTCTCATGAAGAAATAATTGGACAAGGAGAAACACTTGTGAGTTTTAGGTAGACCAAAGAAATACGGAAGAGAAAAGCAAATGCCACGGAAACGTGTGACGAGATCAAAGTCAGGTGGACAGAGGCTAGAAATCTGTCTTAGTTTACGGTTAAAGGAAATTGTAAGGCGATCCAAAGGGGTTAGAATCCAAAGGAGCATAAGTCAGAGAGCAAAACTTGAGGTAGTCCACATGACGAAGGGCAACCAGCGAATTACCTATGTCAGAAGGAAGGATAAGAATAGCGTTATTAGTTTCCAGGGAAGAACAGACAAGCTCATAGCGATGAGGGACGTTGTGACTTTTAGACAACATACCCTCAAGATGTGTAGGTTGCGTGTCCGAACATTATTATTATTATTATTATTATTATTATTATAACTGATAATGCTATTATTATTGAGAATTCTAATATTACTGAGACTATTATTATAATTGATAATATTGGATAAAAATCACACTTGTTTATTTGTGAAATTTATGTATGGAATTTGCACCATGTCTTTCGCACTCTCCTGAGTGCTTTATCAAGGTCTGAGTGTGTGTGACTAGGACGAGACTAGCATCTCAACGACTAATGAGATTCTCATTAGTTGTTGAGATGTTATTCTCGTCCTCACCACACACTCAGACCTTGACAAAGCACTCAGGAGAGTGCGAAAGACATGGCGTAAATTCCTTACATAAATTTCACAAATAAACAAGTGTGGGTTTTTATCCAATTATTAATATGTCTGTGAGAAGACATTACCATTACTAAAATTGATAATATTATTATTATTGAGAATATAATTTACATGGCTAGTTATATTATATAACAGTTTCCAGAATAACCCCAGAATAGTTAACACATGTAAACCAGGAGATCAATACTGGTTTGGGTATTAATGTAGGAGACTATAACAGCCCATGACCAGTCAAGGGCCTGAGAATAGCTATAAAAGGCGACCAAACCACCGAAACAAAGTTGTGTATGGTAATTCAAGAAATCATATCAAACAGGTGTAAAAGTGGTCTACTGAGGGACGGGAGACGTCTCCCGTCACGCAGGGTGCAGTCGCACCTCCATAGATCTCCAGTATCAGCTATTGATACTGGTAATGGCTCAAAAGGGCCACCACTTACGGGCTATTCATGCCCGTGCTACCTTTTGGGTGGCTTAATCTTCATCAATCAATCAGTCTATTGACAGGTGGCACGAGGACTTGTGACACTAATTATTAGGTGGATATCACATGGCAGTGAAGCTTTGAGGTGTATGCAAGACGATGATGAGTCACAATAACGTGGCTGTGGATATGATGACCAAAACACACACATCAGAATGTGAGGATGAACAACCCAGCGGGTTTTCTTCCTATTGGGGAGTGTTGTACATGCTGCTATGGCGGTGTGTCCACTCACAGGATGAGTGGCGCTGCCCAATACTGTCACTATGGCAGTGTGTCCACTCACAGGATGAGTGACGCTGCATAATACTGTCACTATGGCGGTGTGTCCACTCACAGGATGAGTGGCGCTGACCAATGAACTCGCCCCTCGGGACAAATTAACAAAAAAATTAAATCAGAAAGTGAAAAAACGACGACGTTTAAGTCCGTCCTGAACCATTATCGAGACATGTAAAATAATTTGAGCCAAGGCACAGGTAAATGTATGGTACGTAAAGAGTGTGGGATGAGGAGAAGGTGCATAATAAAAGAACAAGAAGACTTAGACCCCGCGCTTCACGGGCTCACCATAGAGCCTGTGCTATTGGTTCCAGTAGCTGAATCTAAAGGAACATCAACTGCGAGGACTAGCATCTGATGACTGCACACCTTCACTACACCGGACGGCTCCTTAGCTACCAGTGCCACGGAGAAAGTTCAGCTTCTTGCCTCTCACCTGGCAAGTAAGATGCAAGTTATTGAGCCGGATCGCTCTCTCTCTGAGTTTCCCTTCCCTTACTAATTCCCGCTAATCTTCCTGTAACGTCACAAAAGAGAAAGAAAAACGTACGTTTGAAACTCACGTTAGCAAGGCCCTTGAGCGAGACTGTGTAAGTCCGAATATCTTGGATGTGCATCTTTCCCTTGCAGTCCTCTTCCATGCTTACATTGACCAACAAACCTGGCTATTAATATCGAAGCTGAACACAAAACGAAAAAGCAAGACATCTGTAGAAAACTATTGCCACTATCCGGTCGCTGAAATGATATTACAAAATTAATCCTTGCTGAGATAATACCTGGATGAGGTTCTGGGAGTGCTTCTACTCCCCTGATAGAACTTCTGACACCTGATCAACCAGGCTGTGATTAATACGTCAGGCTGAATCGCGTCCAACTGCCTGGTTGACCAGTACAGCAACCAGGAGGCCTGGTCGACGACCGGGCCGCGGGGACGCTAATCCTCGAAAACACCTCAAGGTAACCCCAAGGTAACCTCCCCAAGCCCGGCCCTGGAGCATACTGGAGAGGTTTCGGGAGTTCTTCTACTCCCCGAGCCCGGTCTGGGGGCAGGCTTGACACTATTAAAATCCCTTGATACAAACTACATGTACTTATTAAGTAACAAGTAATTTGGGTTTAGAGGTAAAATGACATCAGGTCTGCTACTTTACAGTTGACCGTAAAATAGACGAAGAGCCTTGCATGTGGAAAGGATTCATATGTCACAGTCCTGGATACTGTTGGTGTTTGATAGGATCTGGCATAAAAGACTAGCGAGTGTAATAAACGAACAACGAGAACTAGTATGACTAGTCCTAGTTAATTCGCTGATTCCCGCGTCGTAGATTCCCACCAGACTAGAAGCTGGTGGGAATCTTTTGCTCCTCTTTGAAAACTACTCAAGTAACTGAACCTTTAAGATCGTGTTAAGTAATCATTGCTCCTGCGAACATGCCATACAGGCCAGTGTACCCCAGGGCAGTGTGACCGGACCACTCCTGTGGACCACCAATTTCGATGGCATCATGTACCTAATACTACAGGCTAGAACCTATGCAGATATTTGTACGCTGACTTTCCCAAAAACACAAGAAATTGTAAAGTACGTCAATGAAACTCTTAAAACTCGCCAATGAAACTCTTAAAACTATCTTATCCCGGGGGATGACGGAGGAATTTCTATCCACAATTAATAACCTAACCCCCCCCCCCCCAATCTCTTCTAGCTTCTCTATCAATCGCTCCCTCCAAAACACCACACAAAAGGCGCGACAGTTTGGAGACGAAAGCGCTATGCCAGCATAACTATATAGCACTTCGGAAGGAATAAGAAAGAGAGAGAGAGAGAGAGATATACGAAACGCCGGCATATGAGGGCGGAGTGAAGGAACGATGTTCACAACCACTTGGATTATCGGGGATCGAACGGGGGTCACGTCAGAAAAGAGAGAACGTCATTCCACCTACCAGTCGTAGTGACTGGATGAGATGACTACCTGATATATGTTCCCCGAGCACGAACACAACAATTCCGACGCTCTTACCACCCGTAATTCCCAAAATAATGGAACGCATTTTGGCAACGGGCTGCGGCCAAACAGTTACTTCAATAATTTAAACACAAATGAACAGCTAACAGCACAACAGTACCCCCCTCCCCACCCCCCACAGCCTTGCTACATATAACGGCACAGGAACATTATATCTGTAGCGTGCTAACTCTAAAGTAACTCTAACCCGGAGTTTCAAAAAGCGATGGAATGTGTGCGCTTACGAAGCCTAAACTTTACCCATTGTCAGGCAACACCAGAGGCTCCTCTCAGGGAAGCAGCAACACCCGGGGGCTCCTCTCAGGGAAGCAGCAACACCCGGGGGCTCCTCTCAGGGAAGCAGCAACACCCAGACTCCTCTCAGGGAAGCAGCAACACCCGGGGGCTCCTCTCAGGGAAGCAGCAACACCCGGGGGCTCCTCTCAGGGAAGCAGCAACACCCGGGGGCTCCTCTCAGGGAAGCAGCAACACCCAGACTCCTCTCAGGAAAGCAGCAACACCCGGGGGCTCCTCTCAGGGAAGCAGCAACACCCGGGGGCTCCTCTCAGGGAAGCAGCAACACCCGGGGGCTCCTCTCAGGGAAGCAGCAACACCCAGACTCCTCTCAGGAAAGCAGCAACACCCGGGGGCTCCTCTCAGGGAAGCAGCAACACCCGGGGGCTCCTCTCAGGGAAGCAGCAACACCCGGGGGCTCCTCTCAGGGAAGCAGCAACACCCAGACTCCTCTCAGGAAAGCAGCAACACCCGGGGGCTCCTCTCAGGGAAGCAGCAACACCAGAGGCTCCTCTCAGGGAAGCAGCAACACCAGAGGCTCCTCTCAGGGAAGCAGCAACACCCAGACTCCTCTCGGGGAAGCAGCAACACCAGAGGCTCCTCTCAGGGAAGCAGCAACACCCGGGGGCTCCTCTCAGGGAAGCAGCAACACCCGAGCTCCTCTCAGGGAAGCAGCAACACCCAGACTCCTCACAGGGAAGCAGCAACACCCAGACCCCTCACAGGGAAGCAGCAACACCCAGACTTCTCTCAGGGAAGCAACCGAAGGCAACATGAAAAGATTCCCAAACACAAAGCCCGGGCTTGGAACGGTCTCTTGTGGAGGTATGGATATGGCGCTGAGGTTGGGGCTGGGGCTAGGAGGAGGAGGAGGAAGGGTAGTTAGAGGAAGGTAATGGAGGAAGGTAATGGGGGAAGTGACGGGTGTGGGGGGGAGTGGGGGGTGGATATTGCTCATGGAGTAGCTGGTGACCTTTGATACCCCGGGAACATGACTCAAATTGCTTGTCTACTGGGGATGAAGGTAGGATGGAGGTGGGGGGAGGGGGGCACTTACCTATTAGTGGCAGCTGGGGAAGGTGGAAGGGAGAGGAGGAGAGGGAGGGGGGAGTGGGAAGGGGAAGGGAAAGGGGGGAGTGAGGTCTAGCCCTCTGTGCCCCGCCTACTAGCCTTCTTGTACCTGTTGTGTGTTAGTTGCGCTGAGGTGTGGTGGTAGTGGTGGTGGCCAGATGCACGTATCTCGTAGTGTTTGAGTGGCCTTACTACCACCATCGCAACTACCATAACACGAGACGGTTCCTTGGATCAATGTGAACCGCGACTCGGTTTCTGGCCAGGTCTCCTGGTTGGCAAGTTGGCCAAGCCGACTGCCAAGATGTTGCTACACACACACACACAGTCTAACGCATGCATCACAACTGTTGACCAGATAACCTTTAGAGGTGTTTATCAAGTTCCCTCTTGAATGCCGAAAGTGGTCGACTAGTTATGCCCTTTAGCCTATATTTTAAAGAGCGAGAGAGTTGAGAAGTCTTGGGCCCCTTGATGTTGATAGAATTCTCTCAGCACACCCATTGATCCTTTACTTTAAAACGGAGCTAATTTGCACTTCCTGCCATGCCTCCTGGTCACTTAAAAACAAAAATATCAATTTCGTTGTGCAAAATCTGAAAGCAATTTCTCCTAATATTTTCCAGTTGAAAATTACGATGTGTTTCTCACCCGCATTCCAGGGAGTTCAATTTGAGGGATTTTATGAGGCTCCCAAAATTGTGAGGCTTTATTGAATAGATCCTTGTTGTAGTAATGTGTCTGCTATCCTGGTCCATTCGTGCGTCTCCATACAGTTAGTACATTGTGCTAACATGGACAAGCACAATGCTATGTAGAACCAGCATTGTGCTTGTCCATCATGGAACCACCTCCAGCCTTTCCGTCACAGAACCAGCATGATGCTTGTCTGGTGAGGTTCAGGTGTCAGGTTTTGCGCTGAGTCCAGCTAGAGAACTGATTTTTGCATCCCCAAAATAATAAAATAGTTTTAATTGAGAATAAAAATGACCGAACGCGTAAACCTTTTTTGTTTACATTACACTTAAACCACCAAATGTAAACCCCGTATGAGTGTACCTCTTCTTGACCCGAAGGTTTGATATTCGTTTATTTGTCTATTAACCAAACTAAGTTTTTGTTTATATAATATTGTATTATATAGCAGCAACACCCAGACTCATATATAATATTGTATTATATAGCAGCAACACCCAGACTCATATATAATATTGTATTATATAGCAGCCTCACCCTATAATATTGTATTATATATATAATATTGTATTATATAGCAGACTCACCCTATAATATTGTATTATATATATAATATTGTATTATATAGCAGACTCACCCTATAATATTGTATTATATAGCAGTAACACCAAATGCGTTTTCGCATTTCCCCAGGAAATGCGAAACGCATCCAGTCATCAAGATGTATTATTCTGATCAGAATAATTCTGATTGTGATCAGATTAATTCTTATTCTGATCAGAATAGTGAATCAGAAGCAACTGGATTTTTTTTAAATTTTGGCTGGTCTGAACTGGTATACAGCCGAATATATCAAGTATACATATATTTAGACAAATTAAACAACGTTTAGCTTACAAGTTAAGTGGTGATATATATATTTGTAAAACACTGTGTACAGTAGTATTATTAACAATAGTAATAACAGTAAAAATAACAATACAAATTATCAAGTATTAACTATGTACTAAACGTTCATTTCAAAATTGTTTATAATTGGTTTATAAATATTCAGTGCGTTAATTTCGCATTTCTTTCTGCTGGGCATAATATCACGCGCGTTCGTTTTCCATTTTCTTTAATGAGATTAATATTAAAGAGAGAATCCGGCGCGAGATCCACGCCTCAATCAACACCTTCCCGCGCTTCTTGGTGGCCCAAACCACTTTACGAACTCGAAAGAGACAGGTCTTAAGGCTGTAGAGGTGCCAGCCAGCCAGCCAGCCAGCCAGCCAGCCAGCCAGCCAGCCAGCCAGCCAGCCAGCCAGCCAGCCAGCCAGCCTGCCAGCCAGCCTGCCAGCCAGCCAGCCTGCCTGCCAGCCAGCCAGCCTGCCAGCCAGCCAGCCTGCCAGCCAGCCAGCCTGCCAGCCAGCCAGCCAGCCAGCCAGCCAGCAACAACATACTGAATCAGACGGCACGCTGAAGACCCGGCGAGTAAGCAGTCTGGAGGCGGCTGCGGCCGTGGGATTTCCACTGTGTGTGCTCATGCTAAACAAGTGTCAACACCATGACTGCAGCCACCCAAGCTTTTGTATTTTTTTTTCACACGGCCTTTATTTTTTTGGTTAATATAGGTGCATTTGCATTTATACAGCTACTCTAGAGTATATGAAGGGTTAACATAGTTTGTGTCAAGAGCTAGCTGTACACAACTAGTTGTGCTTGCAAGGGGTTGAGTTTTGGCTCTTTGGTCCCGCCTCTCAACCGTCAATCTACTGGTGTACAGATTTCTGAGTTTCTCGAGCTCTATCATATCTACATTTGAAACTGTGTATGGAGTCAGCCTCCACCACCACTTCCTAGTGCATTCCATTTACTAACTACTCTGACACTGAAAAAGTTCTTTCTAATGTCTCTGTGGCTCATTTGGGTACTCAGCTTCTACCTGTTTCCCCTTGTGCGTGTACCATTCGTGTTAAATAATCCATCCTTGTCTACCCTGTCAATTCCCCTGAGAATTTTGTATGTGGTGCTCATGTCTCCCCGAGTTCTTCTGTCTTCCAGCGACTTGAGGTGCAGTTCACTCAGACTTTCTAGTCCGGCATACGTAGTGGCATACCTCTGAACTTTTTCCAGCTTCGTCTTGTACTTGACAAGGTACGGGCTCCATGCTGGGGCCGCATACTCCAGGATTGGCCTTACCTATGTGGTATACAAGATTCTGAAAGATTCCTTACACAGGTTTCTGAAGGCAGTTCTGATGTCAGCCAGCCTCGCATATGCCGCCGATGTTATTCTTTTGATGTGGGCTTCAGGAGACAGGTTTGGCGGGATATAAACTCCTAAATCTTTCTCTCTGTCCGTTTCGTGAAGGACTTCATCTCCCATTCTATATCCAGTGTCTGGCCTTCTATTTCCTCCACCTAGTTTCATTACCTTACATTTACTTAAATTGAACTTTAGTAGCCATTTGTTGGACCATAGCTGTGTGATACTAAGGTACCTGGTTATTTATACAGCTGCCCTAAACTAAATGAAGGATTATGTAGTGTGTGTGTGTGTGTGTGTGTGTGTGTGTGTGTGTGTGTGTGTGTGTGTGTGTGTGTGTGTGTGTGTGTGTGTGTGTGTGTATTCACCTAGTTGTATTCATCTAATTGTGCTTGCGGGGGGGGGGGGGGGTTTGAGCTCTGTTCTTTCGGCCCGCCTCTCAACTGTTTCTACTACTACTATTTTTTCCCCCACACCCCACACACCCCAGGAAGCAGCCCGTGACAGCTGACTAACTCCCAGGTACCTATTTACTGCTAGGTAACAGGGGCATGAGGGTGAAAGAAACTTTGCCCTTCGTTTCTCGCCGGCGCCCGGGATCGAACCCGGGACCACAGGATCACGTGCCCAACTTGCTGTCCGCTCGGCCGGCCGGCTCCCCACGTGTGTGTGTGTGTGTGTGTGTGTGTGTGTGTGTGTGTGTGTGTGTGTGTGTGTGTGTGTGTGTGTGTGTGTGTGTGTGTATCAAAAGCTAACTATGTGATACTAAACAAGTTCCCATCCAGTGGTGTCGCTATGAGATTCTTCACAGAGGATTTAAAACGTCTCGCCATCTTCCAGCATCCATATTCCTAGTTTTCCTATCAAGTCATTCAAAGGACCTCTCAAGATTTAATCTCCCAGTTTCCCCAGCCTCCGTCATGCACAGTACTTCCTGCTGCAGACACCAAGTCACATTAACGTGGGGGTGAAAATTACACACTGAACCCACACATCTGAAAATACAGGAAGTGACAACATTTCGGTCCTACCTGGACCACTCGACTTGATATCCAGGAGATATCAAGATATCTTAGGTAGATATCAGGAGATATTGAAGTCCAGGAAAGACCGAAACGTCGTCACTTCCTCTACTCCCAGATGTGTGGGTTGAGTGTCTTAATTCCTACTATAATAAAGGGTATAGGTATTGCAATATTGGCTGTGCAAAGCAGGTGTGCAACAGTGTGAACCAAACTAATATTTGTAAACAAATAATAAAACATTTAGCTTATAATTGAAGTGGTGATATATATTAATAAAACACTGTGAAGTGGTAATGACAACAGCAGTAAAAAAAATACAAAAATAAAAACTGTAAACAATTAAATAACTTTCGTTCGTTCGATTCAAAATAGTATCTAATAGCATAAATATTCAGTGCGTTCATTTCCCCTTTTTTATAGTGGGAATAATATACCGAGCGTTCATTTTCCCCTCTTTTATATTGGGAATAATATTCCACGCATTCATTTTCCATTTTCTTTAATTAGATTTATATTACAAGAGAATCGCGCGTCAGAACCAGACTTTAAGCGTTCAAACGCCTTTCCCGCTTCTTGATTGGGCGATAGAGCAGCGTCCTCGCTTTTTTTTCTGTTTGGAGGGTCGGCGCTCGATCCCCGATGATTCAAGTGGCTGGGCACTTTTTTCTCACATTTCTTCCAAGTGCCATGTAGCCAAACTGGCTTAGAGCTTTCTCCCGATCATTTCCTTACCAAGGTTTGTTATGGACAACCAGGTTGCAACGCAAGGATCAGAAACATTTATGAGTTAACCCATTCACGAGTTTGGAGTCACAGCCATAACTCATTCATGAGTTTGGAGTCACAA